CAATATTTGGAAACTTTTTACAATTTGGGTTTTCTAAGCCTTTAATGCATGATGGCGTGGAAACAATAAAAATGTAGGGTGTATTCTCTGCTGCAATGTGGGTTTTTTTTGGGTTTTTTTTTTTTTTTTTTTAAACTCGTATTTCCATCAGTGCTGGAGAAAACGTCTTCTCATTTAAAGGCTCCAGACAGCCTTAGAGGGATGTTAAAGCTCCATATAAAGATATAGGACACCAATAAGAGAATTTCATTTTCGTCAGTTTGCCCCACCTTATTATGGAAATACAGTTTGAAATTTGATTATAGTTTAGGAACATAGATCTAATGTACAAAACTAAAACGTCCGTACAAAATTAAGGGTTTAAAAGCACGGTGGCTCTAACCATAAAGTTACAACCATCAAAAATTGATGAAGCGGTCACTATAAATAACCAGACATCAAGATAAGCATCGACGTCTGCTATTGATGGCTCCTCCCCCGCTACCTGTAAATCTGCGATGCCATCTTCCAACAAATGGATGTGACAGAGGGAGTCGGAGAACGAGAATTGCGTACAAGAATAAAACGGTCATTTTTTTCCAACCCAAACGATATATCCGTAAAGGAAACGACAAACTGCGGCCTTTGACAGGAGGACGGCATTCAACAGTGCGCGGTGCTGAGCTCAAGTAGCGGACCTGCTGAAGGCTACGCTGTTTAAAAAAAAAAACAAAAAAAACAAGGTGGAGGAGTGAGTGAATCGACTGGCGTCGACAGCACGCCTCTTCAGTGTAATCATAACGCCGTTGCAGTTTCATCCATCGGATCTGTGAGAAAACCGTGAGTTTTGAGGAGTTTGAACAAGAAATTTGATTTTTACGCACACGTCTAACGGATGACGCGCAATCCCGGCCACGAACGCGCATCGTGAGGCGCACGACTGAGATCTTAATTTCAAAAGAAGTTTGTGGTTTTTTTCTGGTTTTTTTCTGGTTTTTTTTTTTTAATTGCGAGTGTGGCTCGTGTGGACTTGAACTTTTACATCTTTGCTTAGAGTGAAGCCAGATGAGATGGAAGAGGAGCGGAAGGTGGTTGGCTGAACATGCCTGAGCCGTTGTGGCATCAGGGGGCGCTGGCTGGAGCTCCCCAAAGGCCCTGAATCCCAGTTGAGTTTGTTTGTTTTTAGGGGCTGGCAGGTGACCAGAAGTCGGTAATGCCGAAAAACAGGGAGCGATTCAACCCGGACCCATCCATCCACATATCCAAGATGAATGTGATCATCCCGTTCTCACCAGATGTGCCCTGTGATAACAACGGCCAGCGGATGTGGTGGGCTTTCCTCGCCTCCTCCATGGTCACTTTCTTTGGGGGTCTCTTCATAATCCTGCTGTGGAGAACTCTCAAATACCTGTGGACCGTATGCTGCCACTGTAACGCCAAAAAGAAGGTACGCCAGCTCATTTCATAACGCAGCACTCCTCCATGAAATCATCATAGAGGGGTTTTTGTGTAGCAGCCAGTTTGATTTGGGCTTGTAATTAAATCTGTAGTAGGTCCAATCACAGTGCATGACTCTGAATAATGAACTCTGCTATTCTTGGCTTAATGTCACATACAATGCGAGCCTGTTATAATAAAACCTCTTTGATCTTGGACTGTAGGCTGTTAACGAGGAAAGTTGGTCCTCGTTAACAGCAGGTTTGCAGTCGGAGCTACAGCTGACACTTGTTGGTGCACCGCATTCAGTTTGTTCCTAGTTGATTTGAAGGTGATCCAGCGCACAAGTAGCCTACAAGTATTGTAAAAAGCTTAACTATCATATGAATTTAACATGTTGAGGAGCTTAATTCCCACACAATCAGAAAACAATTTGTGGGAATATTATGAAGATAGTTTGACATTCATACAATGCACAACCAATGCTTGTGGTCATACATTGAAGGTTAGTGGAAGTTAAATTGTGCTGCTAAAAATAGGGGGGGGCAAAACTAAAACCTGGTGTTTCCAGATATCATGTCCCGCTTAATGTGGATAATCCACCGGCCTCGAACGCAGGACATTTTGGATTGGAGCTACATTCTGTTGAAGAATTTCTCACTGTTTGTTCTGTAAATTATCCAGAGTAGCAGAGGCAAAATGTGCTGCTGAATCTTATTTTTACAAACAAAAATCCATCCAGCTGCATTTTATTGAGGACAAGGGATTTTTAATCTTCTGTAAACAGCAACTTAGCGTAGTTTCCCCCCTTTTGAGTTCTTGTCAACATAATCTGAAGTCAGCATCATTTTCTTTCTGAAACTGTCCAGCTGAACATGCCGTCCAGTTTGTTTAGTGTATTTCATAAAGTCTGGAATACTTGTCCTGTTGAGGACATGTGGAGCTATCAGGGGCTGCTACATGGGTCAGATATGTTGTGTCTTTGTGTAATCTCCAGAGACAGCAGCAGCAGTATTTAATTCAACTGCTACTACATTTTCGGCCTCACAGTAATGACATCATCTGCGCGAGGCCGTCTGCAGTCGTGTGTTAGAAAAATAAAAAATCTTTCTGTTGTGTTTTTCCATAAAGTCTCATTTTAGAGTTTCCGCCATTACGCATATGCTTAAGGACAAAGATGGACTAGCTGATAAAAGTGCAAGAGATGGAGCAGTTTGTCTTATTGCATGTGCATTCATTTCTCAGACAGGCAGTCAGGGTAGAAGAGAATCGCTAAAGGCTGCATGCAGGGTGGTGCTGACCTTTTGAAGGGAGACGTCTGTATCATTTCCATGATTGGGTTGAAGCTGCTTACAATTAAGGCTGCACATAACAATTAGAGTCATGGGTTATTTAATATGTCCATGTATCTTCTTTCTTTAAAATACAGAAAATACATCTTCCCAGCACCCAAATATTAACTACCAACAATTCAGCTATATTAGTTGTCATGATACAAAGGGACAACTTACAAATATTTCAGGTTTTTGCTTCATAAATGAATAAACCTGAAAAACCGACACATTTTTCCGACTAATATTTAAGAGGATCCGTTTGTTTGGTTTGGTTTTTGGCCAAGATTTATTTATAGATGTAGAAAATTGGAACAGAAATGCTTTCCTGAAAACGGATCATGCCGAGGTTTTTCGTTTCAGGGTCCACAGCTGAACACTGTTTATGTGCAGATATAAGAGAGCAGTCAGGTTTTTTTTGTGTGTTTTTGTGGAGCTGCCGAGCTCCACCAACCTGTTGTGCTACTCTGTGGGAGTCAGCCAGAGACGGGTCATCCTTTCACTTCCAATCTCTCCCTCTCTGCCTTTTGCTCTCCTGGCATTCATTTCATAACTCCTGCCCTGTTTTCTTCTCACCCTCTCTTCCTCATCCAAGAAGCAACCTTCCTCCAAAGTGTCAGAAATGCAGTGTCAGGCGCATACCGTATGTGCCATATGAATCAGTACTTTTGTTGCTAAGCAACTGGCAAGCAAAGGATTTCATTAGAAGAGTAAATCTCTGTTATGCAGTGGCTGTGAGATGTGGCAGGTTGTGTTGGAGGAACACCTCCCCACCCCCTCCCAGTCTGTGCATGTCATTAGCAGCCCAAACATGGAGCGTTAAGTGCATTGTTCATAGATGGGAGTTGATAATCTGTTTCCTTCTATTCCGATTTTTTTTAAAACTTTGTTTTCCCCTCTGTGGGGCTTTCACTGCCCAGCTCTGCTCTGATCTGACAGCTCTTATGTCTCTGAGCCTCCATCTCTGTGGCTCTGTTCTCCCAGACTGATGGAAATCGATGAAACACGTCATTTGCGAGGTTCTGATGAATGGCTGCTATTATCCGTCTAGGAAAGAGGAAGAAATTGTTTTCATTGTAAATGGCACTGTACTCACAATGGGAGGATGACAAGTTGTGGCAGCTCCTCCGTCATGGTGCAGACTTTGTGAAACTTGCGCACACTTCTTTATTAGCTTGCGTTGAGTTTTGAGAGACCACATCTCCACTTATCCACGGACTGACTAATGTTCAGTGATAATGTTTCATTGGACAATAAGAATTCCTGATGCCCCAAAGTGTCCAGAAGTTTATTACAGCAGAATTTCTGCTGGTTTTGATCCAGATACAAAAAACAGCAATGGATGGATTGTGATGAAATATTTCTGGAGACGTTCATGTTCCCCTTTGTTATGGATTTTTTCATTAAGTAAGGTCTGAAATGTCGTGCTCAGTGGAGCCTTTTTGGGACACGATGACGTAACATCTCTGCTCACTCTTCATCAGTCTTGTATCTATAGGGGCCATAAGGCCAAACAGCATTTTCTTTTTTGTTTTTTTAATCATTTGACTCTTATTTGGACCAAAGAGTAAATGCAGAAGGGAGCATAGAAACTCTCTCAAATGATGTATTTCAAAAGTAGGTTACCCTAAATCTCTCTGGCTTATAGGTCTGTTCATTTTTGCTCTGATGGTACCAAGAGGCAGTAAGGTGTTACTTCTGCATACATTTAAACCTGGTATCACAAGAACCACATTACCTCTCACAGACACACCTTCTATAACATAAATGGTGAAGGAGCAGTCTTGATATCGATTTAAAGGAGTGCTGTGAAAACTTAAATGTATTATACATCAGTAGAAAGTAGACAGGAAAGCAGGGAATGACATATACCAAATGGTCAGATCGCCTGCTCACCTAAGAGATCTGTAGTGGTGTCAAAGTATGACATCTTTGCTAGAGATGTTACATTTGTTTTGTTATGAATCATTTTTGTTGCATCATACTTTTAGAAGAGGTCCAATCACATTGGTGTTAATAACTCTAGTTTTAATTTGGCTAATTGGGCAGTGGTCCGCCAAGGTTCCTCTGTGATTATCACTGTGGCCTCACAGCAAGAAGGTCCTGGCTTTAAAGCTGCAGGCTGATGATTGGGGCCTTTGTATGTGGGTTTTGTTTCTGTGTGGGTTTTCTCTGGGTGCTCTGGCACATTAGGTTAAAATTTGCCATAGAGAGTTTGTCTCTCTATGTTAACCCTGTGATAGACTGGTGACCTGTCCAAGATGGCCTTTGGACTTGTGACAAGCAGAATATTTAAAATTGTTCCACGTGTCTCTTATTCATTGAGCTCAAATGTTGCAATTTTGCTGTTACAGTTTTGCAGCTGTTGGTGACAATATTTGTGGAGTTTGTTGAGGTGGAAATGTCAAACAGCAGCCTTGGGCTTCAGGGGTTCAGTGTGATTTTAATACTTAATGCTTGCAGGCTACAGAAGGACACTGAACATCAGCATGCTGGTGCTGTCACTGCATTAAATCTGAAGTACCTACAGCTGGGTTTTATCTGTTATTAAAATTTGATTACATTTAAATACATGTTGTCTCGTACCTAATTTGTGATGTTTTATTGGCTAAAAAGGATTTAAAGGATTGTTGTTCTTCTTACCCCCTCTTACGCAGGCAGTTCAACATGACACCTTAGATGTGTCAGGCATGGAAGGGTGTGGTTGCCGGGGTGTTGAGTGGAGGACTCAGGTAAAGAGTCGTGCTCATGGTGCGTTCAAGTGCTGTCTGAAACATTGTAATTATCAGCCGAGGGCTCGTGATCGAACAGTAGCAATTACAAGTCAGTAAGTCGGAACAGCTGAGCGGCAATTTTCTGTTGTCATCTTCACACACAAAGACATGAAGACTTGCATATGCACGCACAAAAAGCTAGATAGTCAGCCAGGCAATACAACACAGCATCAATATCAATATCAGGGTTCATAAATGACATTGAAAATAATCAGTTTTTGCTCTCTGTCGCTGAATCATAACTTTGTTTTCTGCAGCAGGATTTGGTTAGTGTCCATTTCATTTTTTTCCTTGGCTAAGAACTCTTGAGCACATATCGCACATCCCAGTAATAAGAAGTAGCACCTAATGGCAGCATAATTTAACAACTAGACCCTAAATCCTCTGACAATGTCCTCTGCAATTTAGCCTGTCGGTCTCGTTTTTAACTAAAGGAAATGTATTCATTCAAATGTCTGTTTAATTGGCCGTGTAATTAGTTGGTTAAGTATAAGCTTGCTCACATTGCATAATATAAGCAGCAAGGTGGAGCTTGGCTGTCACTGCACCATCTGGGATCCAACAGGTCTCAGATGAACACAGTTGTTAAACATCTCAACTATCCCGTAGCCTGCTGCCTTTTTTCTGTTCACAAAGACAGTAGAAGGTGTTTGGTTTCCACACATGTTATTTTTGCATATCAAATGGAAAGCTAGCATTCTGATCTTAAGTATTATCTTAATCATTTGAACTAAATGTCCTTGCTACATTTCAGTGCATCTTTATCCATTTTAAATACTGCAGTTTCTGTTAAATAACAAATGCATTCAAAGTCCTGTTTTAGCCTGTAATTCCTGGACAAATTTCCTCACTTTGTCTATACAATCACGTAGAAAATAAATACAAATCGAGTCCAAAATACTAAA